CTGGAGCTGGAGCCGGAGCTTTATTTTGATTATAACCCTCAGTCTGAGTGGAGCGATGTCACACCTATACTTGTGTTTATACCTTTAGCTGTACATTCTGTTCGAACCTTGACCTTTGTGTCAGATGCTGCCGTTACCATGGGAATCGTGCTGCTGTGTGAAGCAGCCACGTCTGATGTGGACATTGGGAAGAGGAAGAGTACGTACACACACACACACACACACACACACTGTATGTTTTTGTCTAAATGTTGAACATCCTTCAAAATGTTACTCCAATCAGAGGTCACCAACCAGTGGTTCCTGCTCCAGACGGTCCCCTCAGAGACCAGGACAGCTGGAACTGATCCTGGTCCACATTAGTTTTAATGTTCACAACTGAACTTTTGGACATTCAGGACCTCAGGAGCCTGAACACAACCTGTGTCTGTGTGTGTGTGTGTGTGTGTCAGTCATGTGTGTAGCAGGTATCAGCCTGGTGGTGCTGTTCTTCAGCTGGTTGTTGTCCATATTCAGAGCCAAGTACCATGGTTATCCATACAGGTGTGTGATCTGACCAGTTCTTCTCACCTCTCTGACCGTCTGTTATTGCTCTGTCTGTTATTGTTCTGACCGTCTGGGTTTGTTCTGACCGTCTGGGTTTGTTCTGACCGTCTGGTTTTGTTCTGTCCGTCTGTTATTGCTCTGTCTGTTATTGTTCTGACCGTCTGTTATTGTTCTGACCGTCTGTTATTGTTCTGACCGTCTGGTTTTGTTCTGTCCGTCTGTTATTGCTCTGTCTGTTTTTGTTCTGACCGGCTGTTATTTGTCGGACCGTCTGTTATTGCTCTGTCTGTTATTGTTCTGACCGCATGTTTTTGTTCTGACCGGCTGTTATTTGTCGGACCGTCTGTTATTGCTCTGTCTGTTATTGTTCTGACCGTCTGGTTTTGTTCTGTCCGTCTGTTATTGCTCTGTCTGTTATTGTTCTGACCGTTTGTTATTGTTCTGCCCGTCTGTTATTGTTCTGACCGTCTGTTATTGTTTTGACCGTCTGTTTTTGCTTTGACCGTCTGTTTTTGCTTTGACCGTCTGTTTTTGCTTTGACCGTCTGTTTTTGCTTTGACCGTCTGTTTTTGCTTTGACCGTCTGTTTTTGCTTTGACCGTCTGTTTTTGTTCTGACCAAATCTGCTCCTCTGTGTTGCAGCTTCCTGATGAGTTAGAACTTGACTGACGTGACAACGATGACTCTTTGCTAAGCCATGATTGGTCGTCTGCTCCGTCCAGTTAGAATGCACCCCCCCCCACACAGACTAACACAGTGCCTTTAACAGTCACTTCACGTCCACACCGTCCCAGTCCTGAAGTTCTCCAACAGTACCAGGGTCCTCATCAGTCCCAGTCTTTCCTTTGTTCCTGGGGACAATCGTACAGTTTCACCGTCAAAGTCAAAGAACATTTCAGTCATGTTGACACTGCTACTACAGCATCACTACACTGTCACAACACTGTTAGTCAGTCAGCTGACTTTAAAACCCACGGCCGTTGGTGTGACCCAGTCTCTGGTCATCACCAGGACCAGAGAGCGGGCTGGGCCGCAGCTGGACAGTCAACAGTCCAACATGGGTCTGATGTTTTTGTCTCCAGCCCATCTATGAATAGTCTAATAACACCCCCCCGCCCCCCGTCTCGCCCCTCCCTCACCTGTCAGAGTAGTACTGTAAGGAGTATTACTGTTATTCATATAACATGGCAGTGTTTTTATTTTGGAAGTTTTCCGTACAGTCTTCCCATCAGTAGAGCTGCAGTGAACTGGTAAAAAGACGACCCACTGGACCAGTGGACCTGGACCAGTGGACCTGGACCAGTGGACCTGGACCAGTGGACCTGGTCTGGTCTTCTGTTGGATGTGGACACACTCTGTTTGAAGAATATCTGTGTAAACTGTGACATTAAAGTGCCTTAACTGCACCCCCCCTCACCCCTCCAGTCTGTGTGTCTTCTCTGTCCTCACATCACAGTATTCCTGTTGAAAGTGGACACACGCACACACCAAAATGTTGACCATCCTGTCAACATCATATACATCAATGTCAGATGTGTTTTCACAGGTGACATTTTCATGGATTAATTAATAAAAATCCTTTCATTTAAGCTGGTCGATTTTGAGACTCTGTACTGCCACCTACTGGGTCAGTTTTCCAGTGCTACCTTTCTATCCACACATTTGAAATAATTGAAAAACCGAATGTTTTTCATTTGTTCTGTTTGCTGTTTAAAACACGAATGTTTCCGGGACAACAAAAGACGTCGCTACAGTTTTCTTTGTAAAGTCAAGTTGACGTAAAGGAGTTTTTTTAGCTTCTTCCGCCAGGCGGCAGCAGTGTCATTCGGTGAGCGACAGGTAGCGTATAAAGTTCAAAGAAGAAAAGACGTAGTCGTAAACATATAAGGAAGCGTGATGACGTCACCTGGTGTTATTTTCAAAGATGTGTAGAACAGTAAGGGGTCTAAAGCTGTGGCTCAGCTGTTAGCGGACCATCATGGAGAGCCCGGAGCTCAGCTTCACTCTGGTCTACGTCGTCTTCGCTCTCTGCTTCGTCTTCACTCCTAACGAGTTCCGCTCCGCCGGGTTGACGGTACAGAACCTGTTTTCGTCCTGGTTGGGCAGCGAGGATGTGGCCTTCATCCATTACCACGTCCGCAGAACTAGTGTCACCCTGCTGCTCCATTCTGCACTGCCTATAGGTAACCGACTCCTGACCCGTGTGTCCCCCCCACACTGGTCAGCCATCAGCGGTGACCTCACTGCTGATGTCATACGTCACACGTCCTGCGGTAAAACGGACTGAAGGTTTGAGGGAAATTCAACACCAATGTAAAGATCTAGCTTTGTGGTTGGAGCGAAACAGAACTTTTACAGATTCATGACGTCACCCTGTTTTCGGTCTCCATGGACAGGTGACGTGGCTGTCGGTCATAGTTCCTAACGCTTCTCCTCTGTGCAGGTTACTATCTGGGAATGACGATTGCTGTTCCAGAGAAAAACTTGGGAAACATTCACCAGGTCTGTGTCTCTTCCGCTCTGTCCTCCCCTCTGTCCTCCACTCTCTCTGTGTCACGTCTTCACCCTAACCCTCTGTGTCTCCCCCTCAGCTCAGCAGCAGTTGGAAGACTTTTGTCCTCCTGTCTGTCTGTCTCCATTTGGCCAGCTGGACGCTTGTCTTCTACTGGTCCTGTCATCAGTGGAGAAACCATCCCATCAGCCTGGGACTGCGGGCCCACACGCAGCCTCCGTTCTTGAGCTGGGGTTCTGTTGCGTCCAGCATCAACACTGAGTTCAGACGCATCGACAAGTTCGCTACAGGAGCCCCTGGAGCTCGCGTCATCGTCACTGACAACTGGGTGTTGAAGGTGAGTCTGGAGGTCACATGACCAGGGTTGGACTGTTACCGTTAGGGTCCTGGTGGAACTAGGTACCAGACAGGGAGGTGATGGTTTCCTCAGCGGTGGAAAAGTTAGTCTGACACTTGACCATAACAAAACTAACAAGCGGTCGTCTCCATGACGATACATCTAGCTTTTCATTTTGATCTCATTCTTTAAAACGTAAGATTTGTTCATAAAAATACTATCAATCACTATTTTAACTATGGAGAAAAAGATGAATGGAGTGAAGAGCGCCACCGTGCCGTCTGCCTTCAGGTGACCACCTATCACGTCTACATGGCCTTACAAAATGACTGTCATGTCACGGTGACAGAGTCCAGGCAGCACCAGCTGAGTCCAGACTCTCTGTCCCCGGCTCAGATCCTCACCATGAGAGTGAGCAGCATCAACCCAGCCATCAGGCCCTTTGACATCAGGTGATCTGACTTTAGTTCATGACAAACCTGTTGTTTGTTCTGTGTCCACAGTCTCTCACTGAATAAATGGTCGTTCTCTCCAGGCTCAACTCCACAGAGTACGCCGATCTGAGGGATAAGCTGCGTGCTCCAATCAGGAACTCTGCTGATGTGGTGATTCACCAGACCATCAGTGAACTGTTCCTGGATACGTTCAGAGCACAGGTGGCGCTCAACCAGCCCTATGGCCTGCCCACTGGACAGGTGAGTCACTGATCAGTCTCCTGAGAAGACCAGCGTAGAGTGGACTGACTGAAGGATGTTTCCTCTCTCCATCCAGGAGGTGGAGCTCTGTATTGGCTGTATGCAGGTTCCAGCAAACACGAAGCTGCTCAGACTCTGTCGCCCAGAAGGTGAATTTGTCCAAAAAGGTTAAAAAGCAAAGAAATTCAATTCATTTGGCTTCATGAAAATGATCATCCAACTTTTTAGCAGATTGTTGTCATTCTATTCAGCATTTTATTGCAAACAAATTGTTCAGGGAGGTCATTATCAGTTTGAATAAAGAAAGAGAGGCTAGTTAAAGTAAAGGTGAAAAGTTGATGATAAACCATCATCTAACTTGAACCATTGGTTAACTTGAACCATTGGTTAACTTGAACCATCTGCTAACTTAGACCATCAGTTAACTTGAACCATCGGTTAACTTGAACCATCAGTTAACTTGAACCATCAGCTAACTTAGACCGTGTGTGTGTGTGTGTGTGTGTGTGTGTGTGTGTGTTTCAGGAGGTGACAACGAGTCAGACTGCCAGCCCTGCTTCTGCAGACCTATGTGGTGTTTGTCCTGCCTGGGCCGATGGTTTGCCAGCCGTCAGGACCAGCAGAGACCAGAGACCTGGTTGTCCAGTACAGTCCCGTGTCCGACGTGTCGAGCCAGATTCTGTATACTGGACGTCTGTGTGGTTCACTGACACACAGACATTTTCATATTCTCAACGTTCCTGTGGGATATGGCCTTACAAAAACGTTAAAAAGTTTTTATTTCAAGTGCACTTTTTGTCAGCCATATTCGGTGTTTCCTGTTTTCTGATGTGCTGACATCAGGGGTTGAAATGAAGGAAATTCAAAATCTGTAAACATCAGGTGCAGTGCTGTCAGAGCAGTTGTAGCAGGAATCCTGGGTAATGAAAGTAAATAAACGCAGTCGCTCTTCTCCTTCATTGGACAAACACACTCTGGTTTATTATAGTCAATTTATTGGACTATAAAATGATTCTTTGTGTCCAGAGGATTTGGACCAGTGCAGACTGAGGTGAAGTGGGGTTGATCATGGACACGGGTGGAGGTGCTGAGAAGCTGACCTCCATCACCTTACTGTTCTTTCAAGACATTATTTTCTTTTGCTACTTATTTTGGTAAAGACTTCTCTCTGTCCTGCTCACTTGGCTTTTCATTCTCTGCATGTTTTATTAGTTTTAGTAGTTTTCTCTACTTATTTCTGGATCACAGTGCATACCTACATCAGCCAGTGGACGGAGGCTGGCTCCACCTCAGCTAACTAGGTAACCAGGAGTGTTGACTAACGTGAGACGTAAAAGGTCTGTAATGTCTGTACTTGTTATTTGGGAATCTTTTTAAAGTAATGTTAGAATAAACATGTTTGGTCTCTGAGGGGAGCTTTACACCATCAATGGAGAAAGACACTTTTATAAATTATAACCCTATGTAGAACATTTACAAACATCCTATAACTTTCTTGTTTTTTTTTTTTATTAATTTTTTGTCAGAATTTGTAAAAACAAAAGCGTGATGCTATCTGCTAGGATTTTAAACCAGCGGTAAAGCAAGACAGAGCCTCACCTGACCATGAAACGTTGTTGTTCTATCATTTTTATTAAGAAAGCTGAAGGAACCAAACGTTCGTATTGTTCTCAGGCTGATGGTCGATGGTCAGGAGAGCTGACACAGAACCACCAGACGATACAGAATTATTAGCCGTGTACCTTTAAAATGGAAATGACAAAACGGGCTTTCAGTTGGTTTGTGGCGATGGGGCAGTATAGCGCCAGACATCGTACAGTCCGCCGGAAAGAGAAGAAGAAGAAGCAGCAGCAACGACAACTGCAGTCGACGGCGACGACGAAGAAGAAGCAGCAACAGCAACGACAACTGCAGTCGACGACGAAGAAGAAGCAGCAGCAGACGAAGAAGAAGAAGAAGCAACGGCTGGAGTTGACGAGATCAACATAGTTCACAGCTGTGTTTATGTGAAACTTGAACTCTGGCAGGATGGAGGCAGAGAAGCGCAGTGTTTGTGCGACAGAAACACAGGTAGAGACACTGCAGTCACAGACTCACACACTCATTTACTCCTTTGTGTAGCTGCAGCCGTGCTAACTGAGCTAGCTTTGACAGAAAGTCATTTGAGGTTGAGCAGATGAACGCGTTTTAATCTGAAGTGTGAGCAGCAACACCGTTCGTTCGTAGTGTTGTGGGTCAGAAAGCTCAGTGTGGCGGTGTCACCGTGAGGTGTTGTAGTGGAGTTGGTTTGTGTTTGTGTTGTAGCTCCTTCAGCTAAGGTATTAGCCTGTCGGGCTGCACTGTACGACTGTCATGTACAATGACCCGAGTAAACGACAGATGGCCATCATATTTCTCATAAGTGTGTGCTTTTATCCAGATCTGAGTTCATGCTTGGTAGAAAACAGACTTTGGGCTCCAGCAGTGAGGGTGTGCGGGTCAAAGCCCAGGGCAGTCCCAATGGGTCCAAGGAGGAAATCTTCAAAGGTCCAGTTATTGGGCAGCAACACTGGTGGGACAGTGTCATCAAGTCCCAGCGAGTCGAAGGACTACATCAACGAGCTGTCCCATGAAGTCCTGTGTCATGTCTTCAGGTATTTGAACAGAACAAACTTCCTGTTCAAACAGGAACTACATGGTTTCAAATAAATGTTTTTTGCAGGTACCTCCCCATGAAGGACATCATGTGTATGGAGAGTCTGTCCAGGAAGCTCCGGGAAGCTGTGACCCTGTACCTGCGAGTGGTCAAAGTGGTGGACCTGTGTGCTGGTCGTTGGTGGGAGTACATGCCCTCAGGTGAAGAGCCCGCCACAGTCTGTTCACATGTGTCTGCCAGCAGTGTGTCCTATCCTGCCCCACTACGGGGCAGTGGTGGCTTAGTGGTTAAGGAAGCGGACTTGGGTCCGGCAGCTTTTCAGTTTCGAGTCCCCCAGCTGCCAATTCACCACAGACTTTGGTGATGGGTTAAAAGCAGAGCTCACGTTTGGCTTTGTGCGGTGGTGCAGTGGTGTGACACAGAGTTGACTTTCTCTTCTTGTCTTCTTCTCTGCCTCAGGCTTCACAGACAGCAGTTTCCTTCTCCTTCTAAAGAAGATGCCAGACCTGGAGCAGCTTTACGGCCTCCACCCTCGATATCTGGAGAGGAGGAGAGTCCGAGGCTACGAGGCCTTCAGTATACCAGGAGTGCTGGAGGCTCTGCAGGCCTGTCCCAATCTACTGGTTAGTCTCCAGTGTAGGAGGAATGCAGTACTACAGTCTCGTGTTGTGAAAGTATCTGTGTACACCTGCACCCGGATTAAATGTATCCCAAATACCATGTTGACCTGGCACCTACCTTAGACACCTGATCTTTGTCCATCAACACCCTGTCTGATGGACTAGTCAGGCGACAGCAGCACGAGGTTCTTGGTTCAAAGCTTCAGGAGTTCATGTGTGCCCTCCCCGCCCCCCCACCCCTCCCTCTCTCTGACCACTAACTCTGCCTCTCCTGTCAGGGTGTGGAGACCTCTCATCTGGAGTTGGTGGAGGCCATATGGAACTACATGCCCCAGGTTCACATATTAGGAAAGTTTCGCAACCGTAACGGTGCGTTTCCCATTCCTGCAGAAAACAAACTGAGCATTCCCATAACTGCAAAGATCCAGACTCTACATCTTGTGGGTGAGTAACTTCTCACCCTCAAACCAGCCCTCCTCTATCTGTAGGATGATTGTCAGTTAGGTTTGAGGTTTGGCGTAGGCTATGACATCATCAGTGTTGTGACATCATTGACAGTCGATCCTCTTTGCGCTAGTTGTTTTTGTTCTTTTCAACGAACATGTGTTTCTGATTGTAGGAGTCAATGTCCCAGAGATTCCCTGTATATCCATGCTGCGGCACCTGTACGTGAAGTGGGTCCGGTTCACCAAACCACAACCCTTTAAGGATTTCCTGTGTGTGAGCTTGAGAACCTTTGTCATGAGGAACTGTGCAGGACCAACCAACTCCCTCAAATATGTTCCCCTGGTCACAGGTTTAGCATCAGCGCGAAACCTGGAGCAGCTAGAGCTGGTGAGAGTTCCCTTCCTGGGAGGACTGATCCAACATGTGGTGGAGGACAGTTGGAGATCAGGTGAAGACCACACACACCCTTGGTCATGTCCAAGCTAAACAGAAATATCTGTTGTAGACTTGAGGTGAGGTGAATGTCGGCTCCAACGAACACTGGTCTTCTGTGATTGTGTGTTTGTCGACAGGAGGGTTTAGAAACCTGCACACCATCGTCTTTGGAGCCTGTAAGAACGCTCTGGAGGTGGACCTGGGCTACCTCATCATCACTGCCGCCCGCAGGTTCTCACCCAGCTCTTTTAACCACACTGTGTGTGTGTGTGTGTGTGTGTGTGTGTGTGCGTGCGTGCGTGCGTGTGTGCGTGCAGTGTCCAGACACCTGCTGTTTCACTGTGATTGTCTTCTTTCTCCACAGGCTACATGAGCTGCGTATTCAGCCCTCGCTGACCAAAGATGGAGTTTTCTCAGCTCTCAAAATGGCCGAGCTGGAGTTCCCACAGTTTGAAACTCTTCATCTGGGATTTGTTGATGAATTTCTGCTCCAGTGTAAGTGGCCAACATTCAACCTTTAGATGTTCTGAAGGTCTTGACTTTGACTGAGTGAGGTCTACCTGTGCCCAGGTAAGATGAGTCACTCGGAGCTGGTGAAGTACGGTCTGGCCGATGTGATTGAGAACCCAGGCATCATCACAGATATTGGCATAAAGGTGGTGAACGAGGTGTTTACCAATGTCAAATACCTGCTCATCTACAACTGCCCCCACCTCCACAACCCCCACCACTGGATTACAGGTAAACTACCAACCTGACTCGCTGTGGGCCCTGGTACCAGGTTATCGAGGTCCAAACTCTGTGTGTTTGTAGATCATTCTAGATGGAGTCGCCTGGTGGACCTCACCCTCGTACGCTGTCACGCTATAAAACTGGAGTCTTTCTCTCAGTTCATTGAGCTGCTGCCAAGTCTGGAGTTCATCTGTCTGGACCAGATGTTTAGAGAACCACCCAAGGTGATGTTTAGGACCTGCTCATTACTATAACCACATGTGTACACACACATGTGATATATAGATAGATAGATAGATAGATAGATGTGTGTGTGTGTGTGTGTGTTTTTAGGGCTGTGCCAGGGTGGGTCTGAGTGCAGGGACTGGGATTGGAGTGTCCTCAGCCCTGGTCAGCAACCAGAACTCCAACAATGAGAATGAGAACAACAACAACAACCACCACAACAACAACGAGGCCAACCTCCCCCCTGCTCCTCCAGCTGTCAACAACAACCAAAGGCAGCAGCAGAATGGTAAGGACAGAGGAGTGACTCCTTGTAGTGGCAGTGGTGAGTTAGTTGGTTAAGGAAGCCGACTTGGGTCCGGAAGGCTTCAGGTTCCAAGTTACCTCTGAGCATGGCACCGTCCCCACACACTACTCCCCGGCGCTTACTGTGAAGCTGCCCCCTGCTGACTGTGGTGATGGGTTAAAAGCAGAGGTCACGTTTAATTGTGTGCTGTGGTGCAGTGGTGTGTCACAATGACGTGTAGTTCACTTTACTTGAGCCCTTGACCCCTTGTTTGCCCTCGTTGTTTTGGTCGCCTTTTCCTGGATATGAACTTGAAGCTGAAATGAATGAACATGTGCAGAGGCTGTGACTGTAGTGGATGTCTTTATCTGCTCAGCTGCTTCTTCTGACTAGGACAGTAATGTCATCACTGGACACTCTCTGACACTCAAGCTCTTCCTACAGTGAGGGCTGCACGGTTCATAGATCTTAGACTCTTATTTGCTCTGCAGGCAACTGTTCTGTTCTATCCCTGACCCTGACCCCTGTACTGATTACAGTGTAACTACACAGTAACTGATGAGCAAAGTCAAACATAACTGTTGTTTTTGTCTGTAAACGAACGCAGCACCAGTTGAGGTTAATGGAATGGTAGAAGAGGCAGAAGATGAGGAGGAGGTGATCCTGGAGGAGAACAACATGGAGGCTGAACCTCAGCTTGGCCTGAAAGGAGGCAACAGAGAGGAGAGTGTGGAAGGAGCCAACGCAGCTTCAGGAAGTGGTCAGGCAGCTGAAACCTCTCCGTTTCCTGATGAGGAACAAGCAGGTGTGCTTCTGTGAGTTTTCATTCTCTGTGAGGAGGCAGCAGTTTTCATCTCAGCTCTCTCGTGTCCCCTCTCCAGGTCCCAGTGGTTTAGTCCAGCAGTGCAGACCGTCCACTGCTGATGTCCCCAAGGCTGCAGTGGTCATATCAGACTCAGACAGTGAAGAGGACGACGGCCTCGTTTCAAGGCTGATACCGGCAGCTTCCCCTTTACAGCAGCCAGCTTCCTGTACAGAAGGTCAACCAAGCTCTCCATTCACAACACACCCTAGTGTGAAATTTCACACACTAGTCTACAAAAAGAAAGCAAATGATTCATTGCTGTTTTATGTGTTGTACTCCAGAGTAAAAAACAGATGCAAATGTTTAAATACAGGCAACGATCAACTCTTCTCCACCATAAGGATCAGTATTTAGTTTGGATCTAACGATACGTTTTTTCTTTAAAACAAACGACCTTCAGTCAAACTGTGACCAAATCCACTGATCTCCTCTCTGTCAGAACTGGGTCAAATCCCATCACCAACTGACATCACCATTGATCTGCTCTGTTTATACTGGTCAAACTGGTCTGGTCTGGTTGACCTGGTTAACTGTCAGTATATGAAACAACAACAACAGAAAGAGTTCCTTTCTTTACAGGAACTCTGGAGAACACTGTTGGTGTCTGTGGAACCAGTTCTTCCCATGTTCTGTTCCAACACCTGAATGTCTCTGTCTGGGTTTGATAGTGGGTCACAACCAATGTTTTTAGGAGCATACTGCCACCTACGGTTCAAACCGACCTGGTTAACTAAAAATATATTATAATTAAATGTTTTACTGTGTCTCTGTCACCGCCTTCCTCTAAATCAGATTCAGAGATTGCCATGTTCGTTCATCCGCTCGTTTTGTCAGTATTTCATTACACATCGGTGATTGGACTGGATCACAGTTTCACTGTGTGTGTTTCCAGGTAAAGGAAAGACTCCTCTGCGGCGGAGCAACAGTGCAGTTGCGTCCGGGTCAGAGGGCAGGACCAAGGCCCGACCGTCCATCAGCAGCTGTGAGAAGAGCTGCCAGGTGACGAGTGAACAGATCAAGGCAGACATGAAGGCTGCTGCAGAGAATAGCAGGAGGAGCAGCAGCAAAGGAGTGAGCACAGAGGCTCAGGAGCCGGCTCACAGGAGCGACTGTGGGACACCGCCCACCTCCGTCATCCCTGGAACAGCCACCAGGAGCAGAGTCAGGCCTACAGCTCCCTCTGTGGTTGAGGCTGGAGCTGCAGTGGGAGGCGGAGCAACATCCACCAGGCCACTGGGTGGATGTGGGAGAATGATCCAAGCGTCGAGCCACAGAACAACAACAACAACGACAACAACAACAACCAATGATAGGACTTCAGGTGGAGGAGGCACTAATGATAAAACAGTGGCTCCCTCTAGAGCAGGGGCAGGAGACGGCAGCCCGTCCATCAGAGGGACTGCAGGAACCCCTGCTGGTCAGGTCAGAGAGCAGGACTTCGTCCCAAGAAGACCTTTGACCCGCTCTCGCACTCGTATGTCTTCTGTGTCCCTGGTACCTGAGACGGGTAAGGAAAGAGAAGCTGCTACTCAGAATTTAAGGCTGACGTTTCAAACTATTTGGGTTAAAAATAGTTTTTTGGTTGTTGTATAGATCTTCCAAGAGCCAGGCCTCGAGTTGCAGTGAGGAGAAAACGAATGGCTGACAAATCAACCAGTACGTCCGACCCAGTCACTGAGGATGACCATGTACAGGTACACACACACACAAAACTGTAGACAGTGAAGCCATCAACTGGAGAAAATGTCCACAAAGTGACAGAAAAGGTTCCCTAGTCGTAGGCTTAGAAGCTGAACGACAGAGAGGTGAGGTTTCAAACAGGTTTGGTTGTTTATTTACAGGTTTTGTCTCTGAAGAGTAAGAACTTGGTCGGCATCACTGTCACAAACTGTGGAATCACTGACCTGGTCCTCAAAGACTGTCCCAAGATGATGTTCATCCATGGTAATGTTTTAAATATTCTCAGATGACTGAGGCTGAAGAAGTCCTTCAACAAACTAATGAACATCTGCTCTGTGATATTTGAGTTTCATTGACGGTCTGTCTCTGATGGTCCATCAATGATGGTCTGTCTCTGACGGTCTGTCTCTGACGGTCTGTCTCTGATGGTCCATCAACGACGGTCCATCTCTGGTCCATCAATGACGGTCCATCCTTGCTCCTGTGCTGTGTGTGTGCAGCCACCAGGTGCCGAGTGTTGAAGCAGCTCAGAGTAGAGAACGCACCCATAGTCAACAGATTTGACTATGCTCAGTGTAAGAAGCTGGACATGGAACAGGTTCTGGATCAGATTTTAAGAATGCCTCCAGAGAGAAACCGCATCATCTACATGCGCCCAATGCATCAGGTGAGCTGTTAGCAGCGTATTACCCTGTAGCTCCACCTACAGTCAAGTGGGAGATGTTTGTCTGTCTGTTTGTCTGGGGACGTAGAAACGGGGATGTGATCTCTGCTTGTCCCTCTTTTCAGATTGACACTGTAGCGTTGGAGCGTCAGCTCTTCCAGGGTCCGTATCCGTACCACATCGCCATCGTGCACGAGTTCAGTAACCCGCCGAACATTCGAAACAAGGTTCGCATCCGCAGCTGGATGGACACAATCGCCAACATCAGTCAGTGAGTGATGTGAACAGATGATGACGACATATAAAAGCACTCCCATGTCTTCATATATAATGGTGTAAAAACATGGTCTGACCAGAGGTGTCTTCTGGCCAGAGCCATGTTGTGGACAACATGCTTCATGAACATTTCTGCTCATAAACCCACACAGTGTGTGTGAGCTTCACTGACCTGTTCTAGGAAATGATAAACCAACGTTTGTCTTAATACATGGATCAAATCGCTTAGCTTAGCTTAGCATCATTAGGCTGCTCGTTTTTCATGTCCTCAGTCACTGCGTCCCTTCATCTTGTCACGTGTCCACTCCCTCCCTGGGGACACAGTCAGACCGTCCAAACCTATTGGACTGCTGATCAGATCATCTGTGTGAGACCTCACTGTGACCAAAGATGTCCAATGGACAGGGAATCTGTCCGTTAGGTCAAACCTTAATGTAGACATAATGTGAGTGAGACATCAGCTGATTGGTGTGCGTCTCTGTCTGTCCCTTTTTCCCTCAGAGAGTTGATCAAGTATGAGTTCTTCCCAGAGGCTACAAGGACAGAAGAGGACATCAAGAAATATCCCAGATATCCCTGGGGCAGGGACATCTATACACTGGAGGGTAACAGTCACATCTGCCCCAGTTCTTTTATATATTTGGAGGTGGACACATTCTTACACAGGACGGTCCGGTGGACAGTAAGACAGACTGATATCATTAGCCTCTAATATGTTAACCTTCTGTGATTCAGGGACTGTGGACGGCGCCCCCTATAGCATGATAACAGATTTTCCCTGGCTGAGGACCCTGAGGTCAGCTGCTCCAAATTGCTACGCCCGTTATGACTTTGAGGACGATGAAAGCTGTGAGTGAAGCTGCTGTCACAATGTACATACTCCACCTTCGCACTAACTAACCTTCGACCTTTCTCCTGTCAGCCACCATCTACGCCCCGCGGCGTAAAGGACAGCTTTCAGCTGACATCTGCATGGAGACCATAGGAGAGGAGATCTCTGAGCGCCGTCAGAGCAAAAGAGGAGTGTTCCAGAGGGTGGTGGTCCTTTTCCTCCACCACTGTGATACTCCAGGAGAACCCGTGGACGACGACTACATCTAGAAGGTGGAGTTGTTGTGATGTCACAGAGGTTCCTGCAGCGGCATTGGTCTGAAGGACACAGATGTAAGTTAGTGCTGCGTTCTTTCACACTGCTGTGAAGTCCGAGTATATCGGCTTCACGGACAGCAACAGTGAAAGGGCAGTAGGGGGCGCTGTATCAGCTGAGATATGGCTGCAAGCGCATGTTAAAAGCACTTTAAAAACACACACACACACACACACACACACACACACACACTCCTCCAAAGAATGCACACGGTTGTGGTTTCCAGGCAGGCACCGTTCATCAATCATCCTGCGTCTGCTGAGTGTCTCGGCCAATCAGCAGAGCTTAGACCTCTGGACCAGGTCGTTGGGTTTAGTCACCATCCTGTCTGTGGTGTTGACCTGGACTTCCTTTGTCACAGACTGTCTACCTCACTGCTACAATCATGTCCAAATCTTTTTTGATGTTTTTGGAGTGGACTTTATTTTGTGGTTGGTACTGGTTGGTGGTTCTAGACACTGATGTGGCAGCAGAAGGAGAACCATTGTAGTGGATGGACTTTACTCTGACCACTGGGGAAGAGGAGGAGGAGGAGGAGGTTCTCCAACACCACAACTGTAGAGGTCAGCCACTAAATCAGAGTGAAAACCCACCAGAACCTCCAGAACCTTCACCTGTTCTAATGTTGAGCATCAACCTAAAGCACAGCTGCTTCAGTTGGACCCGTGTCTGTGTGTGTCAACGACACGGGCCCAGCTCAGCTGTGAACCTGTGGTGGAATCGTTCACAGCCTTTTTTCTTTTTCTTTTTTTTTTAATCTTCTTGTGATGTTCTGGAGAAAGTCAGGAAGATAAAACATTTCCAGGAGCTTCGTCCATGATTTTTCAGCAGTGCCTTTGAGCTTCAGTGTGGCTGTGACTCACCCAGATATCAAAACATTGTTGAAATGCAAACAGAAAAGGAACGTCTTGGCAAAAGAGTACATCCTGTGTCCCCTCCACTGAACCACCGCGCTCCACCGTGGTCTTTATATGTTTATAAAAAAGAGCAGAGAGACTATTTCACAAATAAAACATTGGAACTCTCCTTTGTGTTGGACATCATTGTTGACTCTAACTTCATAACTGACACAGAAGTAACAAGGTGGTCATGTGACCTAATTGACTTAGATTTAATTTATTCAAACAAAATGTATTGTCTTCATCTATGTGAACTGATGTGTGAAGACAGAAATCCAACATGGCCACTTTCACTATATATATATATATACCTAAATATGCAAATATACTTAGACATATACAGTGTGCATGTATATATATACATACATATATATATATATATAGGGACAGCTTTCATAACAGGCGTAGCAAGTTGGAACTGCTGATCCAGCTCAGGGTCCTCATCCTGGATTATCATGCAGTAGGGGGCACTGTCCACAGTCTTTTTACCAAAGTGAAGGTAAAGGAAGTGACAGGAAACAGAACAGCCGCAGTTCTACCTGTAAACACTGTTCTAATCCTGGCAGCACTAATCTCTGTCTCTTCCTGCTATGACAAGTTGAAGTGTTACAAGATGAAATCACACACACACACACACACACACACACACAGTACTAGAGGACTGCTGCTGTCACTGAGTATAATCACAGTGTCTTTCTTTCCTGTGACACAAACCAGTCTGTTGTAGTGATGTTCGATACCACCCATTTCCTTTCCGATCCGATACCGAGTAAAATTCGGGCTGGTATCGCCGATATCGATACCGATATTTTATCATTTGTCTTTTAAATAATAAAAAATATGAGTATTTCAAATCATAGCTTCTTTAAGAATCCAAGGCAGAGTTTTTTATTTATTTATTTTAAACTCTGGAGTGTACTGAGGTAGCTGCCTCATTTACTATACAGTCAACACAACAATAGAAAAACCTGAGAACACAATCATATAAAATATGTCAAAACAATGTTTCAAACTCTGAAAATGTTATTTGTAAAAAAAAAAATAAAATAAATAATCTGAGGAGCCATTTGGGACCCGAAAGAGGCGGAGTCGTGAACCGAGCCAAAAGAACCGGTTCTCTAAAAAAGAGCCGAAATTCCCATCAATAGTGACTGAGTGAGAGCACGGAGTAGAGCCCCAGTGCTTACGCATGACGCACACACCCAGGCGGAAGAAGAAGTAGTCCCACCAACCGAGCGTCACTTAGACAACATCTCAATCATTTGGATACTTTTCACCATGTTTCTGTTTAGGATACACCTCATCTCAGAATGCGTAAGTATCGATATTTTGATTTCAGAATCGATTTCAGAGCATAAAGATCCAGAATCGGAAGTATCGATATTTCAGGATCGATCCGCACATCACTAGTCTGTTGTCAAACATCTTGTGGACGTCTGTGTACTGTGTGGACGTCTGTCTCAGAGGTCAGGGGTCAAATGTTGATTCATCTTGATGTTCCATAAAACCTCCTGGTAGAAAAGAGGGATTGAACCTTCTACCGCTGTTCTCAACAGTAATGAGGCACAGGTACCAGTCTTGTAGACCTGCTCATGATGGACAGCAGTGGTTCTTAACCACCGGGCCACGGCACATGAGTGTGTCGTAAGGAGCCAGGGTTTGGACATCGTCTGAGTGTAAGAGTTGAGCTGGACAGAAGTGGAGGTTTCTTTACTGTTTCATTAGTAATTGAGTTTACCAGCACCGGTGTCTTTAAACTAGCAGTTCGAAGCTGTTTGAAGCTGAAGCACATGAGTTTGGTTAACTGGTTTACCCATCAGGTGGAGCTGGGGATGACTTCACTGTCACTATGGTTAACTGTCAGCAGAAATGAAACAAAAAATCTTTTGTCATTGACTTCAAATGTTTAATATTCCTTCACACATTTCTTCTTCAAAGACACAAACGTCTGTTGGTCATGTGTTCACATGGTTCTCTCTAACTCCATCTTCAGTCCATATGAGGAAACAGAATTGATTGTCAAATGAATCTAGTTTAGTCCCTGCTCACTAATGGCCCTGTCTTCTCAGGCTGCTGTAAACAGTGAACCAGATCCAAACATTACCTTATTAAGACAGGAGAGGCCGACAACAGGCCCACTCCGGAAACACACTCTCCCACTGTGTGGATCAGTAGAAAGTGGAGACAGGCCGAGAGCCTGATGTTTAGACACCGTGACGTCATCGTGGATTAGAGTAAAATGTTCACAGTTTCAGAGACACAGCTGTGGTTCACACAAATGTGTCTCAGAGCTGCCCTTAATTACACTCACACACACACACACTTGACTTCCCTCTCCTTCTCTTTCTTCTTTCTCTCTCCCTCCATCTTCCCCAGACTCCACAGGTCACTAGTTTACCCCCGTCCCCCCCCCCCCCCCCCCCCATTCCTCTGTCATGCACCGATCAGTCCTGTCTAGAGGGGCCACTCTCTGATCTGGGCCCCTCCTCCCACTGACCATAGAAGGAAACAGAGGAATGCCTGGCTGGGAGTCCAAGGCCTTATAAGAGAGAGAGGGAGACAGAGAGAGGGGGGCAGGGAGAGGGGGACAGAGAGAGGGAGACAGAGAGAGGGGGACAGAGAGAGGGGGGCAGAGAGAGGGAGACAGAGAGAGGGGGACAGAGAGAGGGGGACAGAGAGAGGGGGACAGAGAGAGGGGGGCAGAGAGAGGGAGACAGAGAGAGGGGGACAGAGAGAGGGGGACAGAGAGAGGGGGACAGAGAGAGGGGGACAGAGAGAGGGGGACAGAGAGAGGGGGGCAGAGAGAGGGAGACAGAGAGAGGGGGACAGAGAGAGGGGGGCAGAGAGAGGGAGACAGAGAGAGGGAGACAGAGACCAGTGGAGGGTCCAGCCTGATGATAACCTCCGAGTGCAGACTTTTACAGATCTTCAGCAGTGAATGATGGGATTGGACGGTGGTTCTGTTGTTCTGATCAGGAACCACAACAGCACCGCTGGTGAACCAGGAGAGAGGTGGAGGTCCATGGTCCATGGTCCATGGTCTGTCCAGCACCTGTAGCAGAAGAAGACCAGAGAAGGTATGATCACAGAATTCACCACTGGGGGGTAGAGGACTGGGGGGGGAGGGGGGGGCATGGTCAGACTAGTTAATCTGTGTTATTAATAATTACAGCACAAACACAGTTCCACAGACACAGTTCCACAGACACAGTTCCACAGACACAGTTCCACAGACTCTAACCTCTGCTACATTTCTAACAAAATCTTCATTTATGCTGAACAAAAGTTTACAGTTTGTTCTGGTACCGTTCTGGTACCGTTCTGGTACCATCTAACTTTGGCAAAGACAATGAAGTCAGTGGTTTATATGTGTGTGTAAACTATTTTTATATAAATGTGTGTGTGTGTATTCTCTATATTTTTATGTGTGTGTGTGTGTATTCTCTATATTTTTATGTGTGCGTGTGTGTATTCTCTATATTTTTATGTGTGTGTGTGTGTGTGTATTCTCTATATTTTTATACACGTGTGTGTGTGTGATTTCTCTATATTTTTATACGTGTGTGTGTGTATTCTCTATATTTTTATACACGTGTGTGTGTGTGATTTCTCTATATTTTTATACGTGTGTGTGTGTGTATTCTATATTTATATATTTGTGTGTGTGTATTCTCTATATTTTTATACGTGTGTGTATTCTATATTTATATATTTGTGTGTGTGTATTCTCTATATTTTTATACACGTGTGTGTGTATTCTCTATATTTTTATACACGTGTGTGTGTATTCTCTATATTTTTATACGTGTGTGTATTCTATATTTATATATTTGTGTGTGTGTATTCTCTATATTTTTATACACGTGTGTATGCATACACCATATGTAAAAACAAAATGTTATGTTTGTACTCACCTGAGAAGTATTTATATCTGTGCTACTTGTACTTGTACTTGCACTTGTACTTTACTGAAGTACTGTTTCAGTTACAATTAAAATGAATGATAATGACCAGACCTGATAAATCAGTTCACACAGTATGAGTCCCACAGTGTCAGGTGTGGCTCAAACTGAGGTCCTGTTCAGGAGTCACATGAGAAAGTGTAGAGACAGAGTGGAACAGGAAATGCTGTCTTTATTTTCACAGCAGTCCAAAGCCTGAAGGCCAGTGGGTTAGCAGGACTTTCACATGACCCCCTGCACTC